TCCGGCGCCTCAACATGTACCGGCAGAAGGAGCGGAGGTGAGCTCGGCCCGGCCCGCGGGGGGCTGGGTCGTGGCCTGGCCGCGTTCCCGGTGCCGCCAGCGACAGGCGATAAAATGCCTCGTTACTAGCCCGGTGTCGCTCCATCGTGTGCTCCGTAAGCCCGTGAGCTGGGGAGCCTGATCCCAAACCTGTTCCCGAGCTCTCAGCAGTCCGGCGGTATAGCAGGGACACAGCTGGGAAACACTTGGTGCATCAGCGGGGATGGGTCGTGAGACCCAAAACACACAGAATTCCCGAATTTCCCACAGCAGTATAGATCAAAAGCTCACCCCAAAATACTTGAAGGGCCTCAGCTCCCCTCAGCATCTTCACAGAGGGTCCCCCTGTTCACCTCTGTTCCACACTCAGGGATCACTGTCAGGGGAGCAGCACCCACCGTGTCTGTGCCATGGCAGCTCTGAAAATCCCGTTTCACATCAGTGTGCTTGGTTTCTTTTGCCAAATTTCCCACTGTTTAGAGAGTAGACTGGGAGAGGGGGTTTTGAAATATTGCTGAATTCAAACTGTGTCTCATCTTGCAAATCCTGTGTGAATGAGCCCTGCAGAGCTGGTGGGCAGAACTGGTTAAAAGGCTTCATGAGAGAACATAGTGGGATTTGCTAGAAAATGCTCCTCGATGCCTTTTGCAGCCCCATGAGCCCTTCGTGGGCTGACACAAGCAGCTGCAGGGAGGGTCTGGCCAGACTGGAGTGAGACCAAGGGCTGTGAGTGCCATCATTGCAACTCAGGTTGGACTAACTCACCCTCATGGAATGTGTGGCAGCACTGGCTGTAGGTGAACGGTCTCTCTGTGTTTTGTGTCTCTGGCCTGGTACACAAAAGGAATGGAGAGGTCACTGCTGCCCTTTGTGCACTGACATATCTTCATTTGTCCCTTAGGAACAAACATGGCAAAGTGATCAAACCTCTGCAGTATCAGTCAACTGTGGCACCAGGCACCGTTGCAAGAGTGGAACCAAATATCAAATGGTTTGGTGAGTTTTTCCCAACTTCCAGACTTGGCAAGCTTCAAAACTATTGAACTTTGTGTGTTGAAAGGTGTTTGTTTCAGAATGGTGGCCTAAGAGCTGTGTAGGAAGGTGCTGAAAGGGAAGGTGAGGGACCCCTGCAGGTTGATGCTTTGTTTGGGCTACCTAAAAACAGAGGCCAGACAAAATTAAACAAATAAACCACCAAATTTAAACAAATTAAACCAGTTCTATTTACTGAGGAACATTTCAGGCAGATAAAGCCCCCCAGGAGCTGCACCCAAAATGAACCACGGGTCAGGGGTTTCACACTTTTATAAGTTTGGTCCATTTGCATATTGGGGTTAATCTCCCAATTCCAGCTTCAGGTAATGAAGTCATTTCCCCCAAGTTTGCTGCCCCCAACTCCCTTTTGTTTCCATCTCTGGGGGCCTGAGGCAGTGAGGTGTCCTTGATTGCCAGGGCTGCAGAGGAATTGCTGTGTCTGACCCAAATGGGAAAGCAGCAGCTCACACTGTGTGTGGAGTTTGGAGTTACACACTAAAGAATTGCAGGGTTACAAATAGATGAAAAATATAAAAACTAAAATCTTAAGGCATCATTGTTACCCCTTGCCTGTACCTGTGCTTTGGGTCTGTACTTTCCACACAGTCCCCTAAGGGTGGTTATTTTGGCTCCTGTGGCTGTTCCCCATGCTTTGCCCATGTGTATGGCTGTTAAGTGTCCTAGAGATGTTTGTAAAATTTCCTGTAAATGATGGGAAAGAAAGGGATTGGCTGCCTATTTGGGCTTGGTATCAAGTAAAACCCTTTGGGTTTGTATTTTTGTTCGTAGATGGAAAAGTCATGTTTTATTAGTGTCCTCAGCTGGAGCAGTTTAGATCAGGAATGGCCAGGTGCGATGTTTGTTTTTCACACTCAGGAAATACTCGTGTGATCAAGCAATCATCCCTACAGAAATTCCAGGAGGAGATGGAGACTGTGATGAAGGATCCTTACAGGGTGATCATGAAGCAGAAGAAGCTGCCCATGTCCCTGTTCTATGACCGGATCAAACCACATGTGGGTATCACTTGCTGTGCAGGTGTGTGCACACGGTGATTTACCTGTCAACAGTTGTGCTGCTTCTGCTCAGCCTGGGGAAACACTGGGTTCTGGAAGACTTGGGAGGGGCAGCTGTAGTGGATTCCTTGGGGAAAGATGGTTCTGATTTCCTATCACTGTGGGCATCAAGTGTGAGGGCAAAGAAAGATACATTATTTAATAAAAATTCTCATTTTCCAATAGGAAATTACCCCAGAAATTCTTTCATCTGAGGGTGGGGAGGCCCTGGCACAGGATGCCCAGAGAAGCTGTGGCTGCCCCATCCCTGGCAGTGTCCAAGGTCAGGTTGGACAGGGCTTAGAGCATCCTGGGATAATGGAAGGTGTCCCTGCTAATGACAGGGGGTGGCACTGGATGGGCTTTAAGGACCCTTCCAGCCCAAAGCCTTCTGTGATTCTGTAATAGGTTATGATACTATCATACTGTGATCTGATTTTTGATACACTGATCTGATCAGTGTGCCAGCTGATGTTCTAATGCCTCTAACAGCTCCTGGGCCTTTCTTTGAGGCTGCTTCACCCTGCAGACACTCACGTGATGAATTTGAACTCAAATACGTGCGATTTATCCTGTAGCAGAAATTCTTCATTGCGCCTTCATTTCTAATACATCAAGTTTTAGTTATTGCCATTTTTTTTCACAGTGTCTAAACCATTATTTTGGACTATTGGTAGCTATTTTGTATTATGGGAACTTTCTAAGTTCATGTCATAAGAACGTTATTTAAATTAGGGAAAAATTGTGTTAAAACATGCATTACAAAAACAAATAGCTGCTTTCAGTGATGGATTGTTTGCTGTTCCAAGACAAGCTGGCTTTCATTGCAAGCTTGAAAATCTACAGTTTTGATTGTAATTATCCCTGACAAAAATCTGAGACTTTGGCGAGATTTGTGCTCTTGTTAGAAAAACAAGAAATGATCAAAGATAGCAGCTGAATTTTCATCACAGTGCTTGTAATTGCATTTGACACCATTTATGGTGGAAGAACTGAAGCGTGGTTCGTTGGCAAGTGCAGAATGTTTTGTTGCTTATTAAATATCCACTCTTGTGTTTCTCAAGGCTGAGCTGGAAAACTCAAACATTGTTAGGGAAGTGCCTGTCACTTGTTAAAGGCTGCCAGGGCTGTGTTGAACTTGGGGCTCCTTCCCTGTGTGTCACGAGAAATGGGGAAAAAATGGTGCTTGGGGTTGTTTTTTTTTACCAACCTGTTTTTCTTCAGACCTCCAGAGTTCACATTCTTGACACAGAAACATTTGAAACAACGTTTGGCCCCAAATCACAAAGGAAAAGACCAACTCTGTCTGCAAGTGATGTGCAAACTCTGGTGGAGAATGCTGAGGCCTCGACAGAGTCTTATGACCAGGGCAAGGACCGAGATCTGGTGACAGAGGACACTGGTGTAAGGTGACTGGAAAGGAAGAATGATTCATTGTTTGCATGTATGCAAAGCCAGCCTTGTTTTTAAAGAAGTATCTGGTACCTCCATCAGTGCTGTTACTGTGTGAGGAGGAGGGGAAAGGAGATTAGCTGAATTTGGGATTTTGGCTAAATACCAACTGTTACTTGGGCTTTGTCCCCTCTTTTGTCTGTAAATGGCTTAAGAGAAAAGAAGTAGATTCTGACCCTGTATCTGTGGTTGCTGATCTTTCTGGTGATGTTTTTCAGGGATGAAGCACAAGAGGAAATCTTTAAGAAAGGACAGTCCAAAAGAATCTGGGGTGAGCTCTACAAGGTAAATGGCAGTTGGAATTTGCAGCAGTCACATTTGTCAGCCTTTACACAGCTAGGGGCTTCAGCACAGCATTGAAATCCTGTACAGCAACAATGAAAAAAACTCAAAAAAAGTACATTTTGATTCCCAAATCTCTGCCTGACTGAGCTTGATTCTTGAGCTCTTGTCCTACAGGAATAAACATTCTTAAAATACATGATCTAGAAGAGGACTGGCAGAGTGAGGGTGTAAGTTTCTCTTGGATTCCTGGGTCTTCACAAGTAAAAGAATCATGTTTCCTTAAGTTTCTTTAGACTAAACTCATCTGGCATGTAGATGGGATCTTCTTGGGAGAGCTCTGACCCTCAATTCTTCATGAGCCACTATGGCTGCCAGAGAAATGGAGACTGAGTGAATTGGGGTGGCATGAGCAGTTTGTGTGCTCTCAGTGACTCAGGTATAAAATTGCTTGACTTTCTGCTCTGAATTTCTGAATGCAGCTTAAAACCCTTTCATTTGGATCTAAAAGCACTGGGAATGGTTGAGCAAAACAGATTTCAGTAAGAGGCTGCCAAAACTGCAGGAAAAAGCTGTGAAACAAATTCACTTGGCTTGAAGCAAGACGTAAAATGACAGCTCCCTGCTGTAGTTGCTTCGTGGACTAACAGCAGGTTCCTGCTTGGTTGTGTGTTTCATATTGGTCCAGAAAACATCTTTTATACCCTGATCCATTAAGAAATGGCAGAAGGGAGTTGTTGCTGAATGGATGACAAACAATGGGGGTTTGTGTGCTGCAGCACTATAGTTTTCCCATTTGGATGTAGTGTTTTCTTTCCCTGGTGCATAAGAACAGGTAAAAGTCATTCAGCTGTCCAGGCTGAATTTGGAGGGGATTAAGAAGAGGAAAGAGTAGAGCATCAATGGATGTTAGTCTGAACTTCACCAGTCTGTGGGGAAGTAGCAGTTTGTGAGGGATACAAGGTTTTTAAATTCATGATGTAGTTTCAAATATGACTAGTTTCATTTGGGAGGTATATTTTGCTTACTGCAAAATCCTTTACTTCTGTGTGATTTTTTTTATTTTTCAGGTGATTGACTCATCAGATGTTGTTGTTCAAGTTCTTGATGCCCGGGATCCCATAGGCACTCGCTCCCCTCATGTGGAATCCTACCTTAAAAAGGAGAAGCACTGGAAACATCTCATTTTTGTCCTGAACAAATGTGATCTCATTCCTACCTGGGCCACTGTAAGCACAGTCCTGCCTGTTATTCTGTGGACCTTCTTTGTTCCTGTTGCAGCTGTGCTGCAGCTCAGTGCCAGTCCCCATGCTGGTCTGGAAGGCCGTACTGCAGCTGGGGCGCTGGGAGTTCTCTGCTTGCCTGCAGTAAAAGTAACAATTACCATGTAAATCTGTCCAAGTTTGGCCAAGTTGAGCAACACACGCCAGCCACAAATTCCCTACTTCCTCTGTCTGGATTTAACAGTTCAGCTGTTGTCTCCAGAGTGCGCTAAATGTTAGTCTGCCTAGGATCCATATCCACCCCAGCTGGTTTGCTTTATGTCATTAAACTAATGAGTTTTAGCTAGCAGTGAAGGCGTTTTTGGGAAATGGTTTGTCTTTTATACAAACAATACTCAGTGCTTTTAGCTGTTGGGTTGGGGAAGTGCTTCAAAGGTTCTTCCCTAGCAATGTTCATGGCCAGTTGCATTTGTGAGCCCAGTGCAGATGCTGTGTCCTCCTCTCTGAACACAGAGTGTCACTCTCCAGCCTTGGGTCTCTAACTTAGACCCTTTTGCCTCTCCAGAAGCGCTGGGTTGCTGTCCTTTCCCAGGAGTATCCAACACTCGCTTTCCATGCCAGCCTCACCAACCCGTTCGGCAAAGGTGCTTTCATACAGCTCCTCAGACAGTTTGGAAAGGTACAAAACAATTTTGGGGATCTGTGGTTGGTTTGGGGGGTTACTGTGTGTGGTCTTTTGCTTTGTTAGCATTGGGGCTTCAGGACTGCAGTGGTAATTCTGTCCCTCACTCCAAGATGTGAAAGCACATGTTATTTCTCACCAGTTACACTCTGACAAGAAGCAGATCAGTGTGGGATTCATTGGTTACCCCAATGTTGGCAAGAGCTCAGTGATCAATACCCTACGGTCCAAGAAGGTCTGCAGTGTGGCCCCCATTGCAGGGGAAACAAAGGTAGGAACATCTCTGTGTTAAAGATACAAATGTGATTGCAGGAAGAATTCACGTGAAATCAGCCTAATGACCTTGTCAAGTTTTGCACTGACCTGCACAGGTTGTGTGACCCTGAGGAGGGGCCAAGGGACAGTCCCTGCTCTGAGGCAGTGCTCTGGCAGCGTTCCCAAATTCCCACTCTGCCGTACTGCAGGGCTGTGATGGGAATGCTCAGGTGCCCTTCCTCCCTATCCATGCTCTCCTGGTCCAAATGATGGGTTAGGCTCTGTTTCTCTGACTTCTGGTCTTCAAAAATGAAACAGGGACTGTGTGGAAGGTGCTGATGGGGAACTGCTGATCTCTTCCAGGTGTGGCAATACATCACCTTGATGCGGCGGATTTTTCTTATCGACTGCCCTGGGGTGGTTTATCCATCAGGAGACTCAGAGACAGACATTGTGCTGAAGGGAGTGGTATGTGTCTGCATTGGATGCTGGAAGGCTTTGCTTGTTCACTGTGATGGTCTCAGAGGGTTTGATCCTCTGCTGTGCTTTTTCAGGTTCAAGTTGAAAAGATTAAGAGCCCCGAAGACCATATCGGTGCTGTGCTGGAAAGAGCCAAAGCAGAGTACATCAGAAAGACATACAAAATTGACTCCTGGACAGATACAGAAGACTTCCTTGAGAAACTTGCTGCTAGGACTGGAAAACTGCTAAAGGTGCAACAGCTTCCTGTATTTGCATGGTGGAAGAGCGTGTGGCCTGTTCTGAGCATGGGAAATAGCTCACAGGGCACAGGAGGGCTGTATGCCCTGAAAATATGGATATAAACTGTTCCTGTTTTTAATCAGGGTGGTGAGCCTGACTTGCAGACTGTGAGCAAGATGGTTCTCAATGACTGGCAGAGGGGCAGAATCCCTTTCTTTGTGAAGCCACCGAATGCAGAACCAGGTCAGCCAGGGCCCCAGGTAAGAATGTGAGGCTTGTGCCTCCTCTTCCCACATACTTGATTTTCCTAATGGTATTCACTGTTGCTTTTCCCAGAGCATTGTGAGGCTTGGCCAGTGCATGTCCTATGCTCTGCCCAAGCATGGTCCTTCAGGTGACACCTGAATTTGGTGAGGGCCAGGTAGCAGCTCTCTTTACAGAGACATCTGAGTCATTGACTGCTAGAAATGTCAGTAATCATGTTGTCATCTTAAGCTTTTTCCAAAGAGAGAAAATGGAAATTGTTCCTTGGAGATGGTGGGACAGACTTTGAGGATAAAATATCCTGCTCTTTCTTGCAGCCTCCTGTGTTGGAAGTGTCTGTGACATCCAGCCAAGATAATACTGAGGAGAAAGTCTCTGAGTTGGTAGCATCAGGTGTGGAGCCAGCAGAAGAGGAGGGGAACAACACAAACACTGAAATCAGGCAGCTCATGTCCCACGTTCGGCAGAACTTCGGCAGGATTAACGTGGCACCTCAGTTCTCAGAAGAAGACCTGGTTCCTGTGGATGTGCCAGGTTTTGATGACACAGACAATGATTCCTCTGGAGAGGAGGAGCAGGAGGAGGAGGAGGAGAAAGAGAATGACCAACATCAGGATCTGGGAGAGGAGGAGTTGCAGGCTGCACCAGGTGCTCAGGAGAGCTCTAAAGCAGTTCTTAAAGCTTTGGAGGACAAGATTGCAAAATATAAAAAATTTTTGGATAAAGCCAAGGCCAAGAGATTCTCAGCAATAAGGTACCTGAATCTCTCCAATACACTGCAGGGGGCAGAAGGGTTGATGAGGCTCTGCTGTAGGTTGACTCCATTTCTGACTTGCTTAACAAGTCCCCCCGTGCTGCCACACACAAGTTGCCACAGCTTATCTGGCTTAGCTAAGGGATGGAAATTGGGTGAAGTAGCAGTTTGTTTTTGAAAGATTATTCCAAGAACTGCTATTTACCAGTAAATTAAAAATGTTCTCACTTTTGGAAAGCTGCCTCTTAAACTATGGATCAGTTACCATTATCTTGGTTTTCTGGGTAGCAATACTGCATCCTTGGATCTCTCCTTGACGTTGAGTGATACCAAGGCTGGATATGCCTGGGTCTTCGTGCATGTGCAGTAAATCCTAGCCCATACAGCAGGCCCAGTTTTAGCAAAGCTCACCCACCAGCCTTGTGAGGATTGAAATTTCAAGGTTTAAGTGCTACATTTTCGCTCTCATATAGCACACAAACACAGTAACTCCAGCAACAAGGGTATTGCAATATTCTGGTGCAAAGACTGGCTTTGATGCTGACAGGGGACTGGGATCTGCTGGAGTCTGATGGCTTCTCAGAGGTGGTCACTGTTTGTGTAACAATAATCTTTTATTGCTGGTTTTATCTTCCATAGAATCCCCAAGGGACTGAGTGACAAAGTGTTTGCAAAATCTGTGCAGAAGGCTGAAGAACCCAAAGAAAATGAAGACAGAGGTAAAACAAGATTAGTAGATGTTCTTAATCTACATTTGGAAATCCTATGAGCCAGAGGAAAAAATGGTATTAAGGGGAGAAGCATCCACTGGATCCTGCATGCAAGTTCTTTTCCCCTAAAACTGCTTAAATCTCCCTTTAGGTGACCCAAGGGCTGCTGGTAACCTGGTGTAGCCTTCCTATAAAACAGCTGTCTGTGTGATGGGAGATGTCCCTCTTAGTGAGGGAAGATACAGTGAAGGCAAATGTTGAGTTCCAACAGCCTGGGCTCCGGGCCAGAGCAGCTCCCCTTCCCTGGGGTGTTGTAGGAAGGAGTGGACAGGGTTTGGGATGTTATAAAAGCAGAGATACTTCAGGCTATAGGTTTCTATGTGGCTTCAGTTGTTGTAGTCAGTTTGACTACAGGCACAATCAGGTGGGAGAGCCCTGTCCTGACAGGACTGTGGAATTCTCCTGGACTTGAATGGGGCTGGAGTAACCTGCTTCTCAAGAGCAGTTTGCACAGTAATAGCTGTGATTCTCTTGTGAGGAACATTCATGTTTTGGTAGAAGCTCTTAAATACAAAGGGAATGTGTTGCTCAAGGAGTTGAGACGGTGACCTCAGCCTGAAGTTCTTCAAACATAGGAGTGTTCTAGAAGGTAACAAGTGCATGATCTCTGCTGTTTGCAGGCAGCACAGAGAAGAAAAGAAAGAGGAGAGAAGAAGAGAAAGATGATGATGATGATGACCAGTTGGGTAAACAGCCTTGTAAGAAACTCACATCCAAAGAAGTAAGTGTGCTTTCCTGTATACAAGTAAGAAGGGAAATAAGCTGGCTTTTTTACCCTTGGTGATACCACTAAAGAGCCTTTTGTCACAAAAGAGCTTTGAGACTTTGGGCACGAACTAAAGGGGAATGAAAACTGAATTCTGTTGTGAATGTTCTGTGACAATTTCTGTCACCCCTCTCTTACCTGACTATGCACGCCAGATTGAATCTTGTTTCTTGCTGGCTACTTCTGTAAAGACTGAAGATTAACTCTCCTAAGAGCAGGGACGTGGGTTCCTTATAGAGTCACATCAGTAACATTTTGCTTGAAATTATTTATTTTACTTAACTTGTGTGGAATGCAGAGTGAACACCATTGGAGAGTTGCAGACACCGAGGCTCTGGATGCTGGGGGTTTGCTAATGTGTTTTGTGTTTGCAGAGGAGACGAGCCGAGAGGCAGCAGCGCTCCAAGAAAGTTGGAGTCCGGTATTATGAAACTCACAACGTGAAAAATAAGAATAAGAACAAGAAAAAAACTGGCTTGGAGGGACAAAGATCAAAGCACAAAAAATACAAACATAAGCAATAGCTGCTTATTCTATTAAATTTTACATAAAACAGCTCTAGTATGAGGCGGCTTTTTTTACTATAAAACTTGCGGTTCCTGTTCAAAGCCCAGTGTGACTGGTCTGTCCTGGCCCCAGGAGCAGCATCTCTCTCTTTGTTTCTGCATCATCTGAAAGTTCTTTGTGCAGTTGGAGCTGATGGTATTTCCACATCGCCGTCCCAGGCCAGCAAACACTGCAGTAGCCAAACAGCTCTTCCAGTGTTGCTCAGTGATGGGGTTTGGGTGGGTTTTTTTCTGGAAACTGGCTTTATGGGGTTTTTCACATGACTACAGGGAATTCTCTTTGCCATGTTCACTTGCTGTGTAACCAGCTGCTCACAGAGGTACCTCAAGCAGGGACTTCATTTGCTTCCATTAAGAAGTGAATCCATGACTGCCATCGTGCCCCTTCAATTTCACTAGGAACAATCACACTCAGAGCTTTGGTGTCACCTGTACTCAGTTACTGCTGATGGTTCTGACAAGGGATTTCCATGTACAGGTGACACCAGCCTTCAGGTACTCAAGGAAATGCCCCCACAACACCTGTCTGAGAGTGAGCTGCCATTTCTTTCTTAGTGCACGTGACTTACTTTCCTTGTAGGCACTTTTCTATTGGTTCTGAATCTTCTACAACATTTTCAAATTAATAATGTCAGGGAGATGTTTACATTTGAAAATGTTTATTAGTTATTGCTTTGAAGGTCATTAGCACGTTACCAACAGGCAAGTCCCAGACAAGTTCACTGTTCAAAGAGCTGACTGCTGAGATGGCTCTGAAGGAGGGAGTGGTAATTAATGAAGCTCTTGAATTTCAACTTGTCAAGAGAGAAAGAAAGAACACAGTTACACTGCCTGCTGTTACTGGTAAGTGAAAACTCAAGATCGTTTTAGGAAGACAAATATTTGTCACTAATTGCAAGCTTCTTGCTCTGACAGCTCTTCTGAGCCTGCCTTGAGGACAACAAAACAATTAATTCTTTGCTGCAATGATGCATTCAAGTTGGGCCTGAAAAACAAACGAGACAGTGAGACAAATTAGATTCCCTAACCTAAAAAATAAACCTTCAGTGCTGTGAAGGGCTAAATTTTCTGTAGGATGTTCACAGCAAGGAGCTGAGGGACACTGCGCCTGCTGCCAGGAGAGCCAGGCCAGGTTTGTTCCCCAGCAATTCCATTCCTACATGTTTTATAAATTAGTTTGTCATTTCTGGCATGCACACTTGTTGCATTCTGAGGAGAACAGAGCTGGCCTTGGCTCTGTACGATGAGGGACTCAGTTTAGAATGTGAAGCATCAAGGGGGAAATTAAATAAAAGTTGTTGAAACAGTGGTCTGAATTCTCTGATTTCAGGCTGGACTGTGTGAACTAAATTAAGTATTTGGCTCTCCAGCATTTGGAACACAAACTGACTCTGGGACAAGAGTAGCTGGGAACAGCAAGTTTTGTGATTACTGGGACAATATGATGCCAGTTAGTGGATGGATGGGAGCAGCCACCACAATAACCCACAGCAGTGGCACACAAGCACGAGTACTTCAAGGAGGAAACAGATTCAGGGGCAACACACATCTGACTTAAGATTTTGTGCCCTAAAACATTCCAGCACACCCTCAAATATGAGTTAAAAAGTAGGATCTGCAGGAAAAGCAGCTTGCTCTAAGGGAAATGTTTTTAGCTGTAGCCAGAAACATTTGATGCTGTTCAGGGTGACATTCTTTCCTCACTCAAAAGATGTGGGGGTTTTTTCCTTTTAAAAACAAAGTATGGAGCAGAACTTCTGTTCTCCCCAAAGCCACATGCACAAATAATTATCCAGTCCCTGCACAGTTGTTCTTGAGTAATATTTAATGTTGAATGGTGCGTTGTGTTACTAGGGCTTTAATGGTTTTAATGAGAATTTTACCACTAGTATTTGGAATTCTGGATTTTTACTGACCTTCAGCTGCTGGTTTGTCCGTTTGAGGAACAGAACCTCTTCACTGTGTTTCTTCTCTTCTATTTCTCGCCGCTCAGTTTCTTGCTTTTCAATAGCTTCACATTTCGCTTTCTCTTCACTCACTTGTTTTTCCAGCTCCTTCTTTTCCTCTTCCAGCTCTGCAATCTTGGAAAAAAGTATGGATGTCTCAAGTTTTGTTAGCGAATAGTCAGTTTTCAGTTAAAATAGGATTGATGCCTTGTGAGGCTACCTAGAATGGAGGCTAGACAGAGTTAAAGGAATAAAACATAAAATAAAAAGGGATTTGTTAAAAAGCCTTCAAAGGATACACCATGGGCAGTACAAGAGCCTGGCTGAGGCTACACCCAAGATGCACCACAGATCACAAATTTGCACACTTAAAAGTTTTGGTCCATTTACATATTTGGGTTAATTATCCAATTATAGATTAAGGTTATTAAGTCCCATCCTCCCAGTTTGCTCTCCTCAATTCACTGTTTGTATTTTTTGGGCCTGAAGCTGCAACGGTGTCCTTGGTTCTCAGGCTGGAAAAGGATTTTGTCTAACTAAACGGTGAGCTTGCTAACACTTTATATGAAGTTCAGAGTTACATCCTAATGCAGTACAGAATCTGAAAAATATGAGAGCTAAAATTTAAGGCATCAGGACAAATTGGTGTGTGGCACAGTCCTTAAACGTGTAGAACAAGCTTCAGAAGCACAGCTAAGCCCGAGGACAGCGAGCTGAGTATTTTGATGGTCTTTGCTGCCATCCCGTGGAAATGGAAACAATGAGTTGAAGGCTATAAAATTTGCTGTTTTCACGCGCAGAAAGCTCCGTCACAGGGTGAACGACCCCACTCACCCTTTCCTCCAAGTGGGCCTTGCCCTGCTCAGCCTGCAGCGCCTTGCGCACGCCGAAGGCCACGCTGCTCTCGTACAGCGCCTGGTAGGCAGCCAGCGTCAGCTGCAGCTCGTCCCGCACCCGCAGCAGCAGCAGCCCCCGCTCCGCGCAGCTCACCGTGGTCTGCCGGATCAGCTCGTCTGCGGAGGAGCAACAGAGGCTGCAACAACTGATCCTCTTGCCCGTTCCCTGCGCCGCAGCACCGGGGACGCGCAATAATCGAACCTTTTGTGTGGGGTGAAATAGGGTAAATGTGGCTGGTGGGGTCCTGAGGTGTCAATGGAGTCGTGGAAGAGTAAAGATGGTTTTCAGAGAATAAAGGGGGTCTTGGATGGGTAGATGGGGCTCTGGGGGGAAAATGAAATCCTGGAAGGGTATTCCCTTATCCTGAGGGAATAAAGAGGCTCCTGGAAAGGTAAATGCAGGCTTTTGGGGTAAATGGGCCTATATTTAGGACATGACATGTACTAGAGATGGTAATAATAACTGATTTGTCTGCAGAGAACAAACAGAGGCTACAGTGCCTTTATCTGGGAGTACTGGACACTGCTCCTCTCACCCATTCCTTGCATCACAAAAACAGGGACACATAATAATTGTCCTTATTACATTACAGTATAAAATAGGGTCCTGGAAGGATAAATGTGTCCCTGAAGGGTCAGTGGGGTCCTAAAGTGTAAATGGGGTCCTGGAAGAGTAAAGAGGGTCATCTGAGAATAAACGGGGTCCTGGAAGGGTAAATGGGGCCCTGAGGGGAAGAAAATGAAGTCCTGGAAGTGATGCCTTAAGCTTTAGCTTTGATACAGAAGGGTAAAGAGGGTTCTGGGGGAAGAAAGAGGGTCCTGGAAAGGTAAATGGGGATCTTTTGTTGTAAATGGGCCCACATTTAGAACATGACATGTACAAGAGACAATGATAATTGATTTTTGTTATACTGCAGCAGGTAAAAGCAGAGTGGTGGTGCAGCCCTTCAGGTAATGCCAGTGATGCCAATCCTCTAAAGCCCTAACAGCAAACACTTAAAAACGTGTAATGACTTGCTGCAGTTACGGGGGAACTTTGAGAGGCTCCCGCCGTGGCTACCCCTCGCCTTTGGGAGACCAGCGCTCCATCACCAGAGCGTGTGAGATCCACACGGCTTTGAGTTACTTTAAATAAACTTGGTTTAAGCGCAACTCAGAGGATAACCAAGAGGATTTAAAGGTGTGTTTCACGTGCAGGCCTGTCCTGCCAGCCTGTCGCCTGAGCGGTGCTGGGCACGGCGGGCACTGACCGAAGCACTGCGTGTAGAGCTCCCGGCGCACGG